TTTTGCTGAAAGTCCTAAAATCAGCCATGGTGAATATTCTGGAGAAGGTAAGTTAAGACTTTTCTGTGGGCCTGGTAGGGAGGGGGAAGATGAGAAGGCGGGGTTGAGAGCAGCTAGGGTGGATCTAAGAATGAAGAAGGAGATGTGAAAGAATAATGGGAAAAGGGTAAGGACTCTGCCATTTGCTCTTCCTGGACCTGATTAAGGGCCTGTTCGCATTCAGCAAGCTGCTCCTTAATCTTCACTTTATCAGTTAAAAGAGCATCCTTTACCAATCTCCATAGAGAGAAAGTAGCAATCGGGACTCTATCCAGACCCTGGTCCCTCAACAACTTTTGGAGATCCTGCTTTACCAAATCCCAATCACTGTTATTGAGAAAGCCTCCTGTCAGAAACCAAGGACAAGCCTGGGCTATAGTTTCAACAAATTCGGTTGCTGTCTTGGTTTTTATTCCTGTTCCTTGTTTGCTTAACAGTTCTTTAACTTCGCTGGCCAGACGAAGTTTAGCTGTTGAGTTACCCATGGTACGTACCCTGTCTCTTTATCTTTGATCCAATCCTCCCCCTTCTACCTTAGAAGGTGAGCCCCATATGCTTACCTCTGCTTTCCGGAACTTGGTGGGGACCTCCACTTGCCGCGTCCGGCTAACGGAGCCAAGTCTGGCGAGAGACGGTGGGGTTAACAAATACACAGGACACCAAGGTTCTTCATCCAGGAGGAGGCGTGTGCGACCTTTATTATCAAAGTTTGTTCCCTTATATACTTTCTATAACTGCAGTGGAAATTTAGCCAAAACAGGGGAGGAATAACACCTGCTACTCTTGGGTTACCGTGACCGTCCCTTATCAGGAAGCTCCGAGAAGGCCAAGATGTTCCCCAAAAGGCACATATGTCTGAGGCAGATAAACATGAAACTGCAAGCCTGTGTCACGACCCTGTGAGCTGGCCACTTTGACATGCAGAACAAGGAACTGGGGGCTGGGCCCTGGGGGCCAGGGAAGGCCTGCTACCAGCAGTATAGCTCCAAAATCTCTCCTTTGTGATGGGATACAATGTCTAGAGATGTTGGGTTTAATTGTGATTTAAAATAAATTCATTAGTTTTATTAAAGGCCTACAGATTCTGATGGCGTATAGAGAATTAAGGTTTGGTCTTAGGATTTTATGTTAAGGTCAGGAGATGTGATGGTATGGAGGTTAGTATATCTTAGCTTCTTTGGGGGATTTCTCAAATGCAGGAGGAGATTAACAAGAGAATAGACAGGAGTATTTGGGGGTAGCTAAGGACTTAGGAGGACTATAGACCGCCACAGAACATTCACCTATTTGCATTTAGTAAATTACACGTAATAGAAGTGGTCATGCTTGGGAGGAAAGATAGGGAAAAGGTAAGGAAGAAATCCAAGAAAGAGAAAGGGAGAGAAAAAAAGAAAAAGAAAGAAGAAATAAAAAATAAAATAATAAAATAAAATTAAAATAAAAATTAAAAAAAATGCACTCTTTGAATTCTGTTTTCTTCTCTTCCAGTAGGTGGAGCTGTGCTTTCCAGGCCAGGTCACTGCCCTCAGGATGTAGGAAACAATCTGTGTAAGGCAGCTCCCCCTCCCTAACTAGGTGTCTCTCTAATCCCATTCACTTAGGGTTGTTCCTGGTCTCTAGCCTCCTGGAGACGGGTGGGGAGGGTGGGAGGGAGTTGGAGGATGGGGTGGGTGGAGTGGGGGGCGGGTAGGGGGTTCGCCAATCAGTTAGCCTGAATCTCTGCGCATGGGTTGGCTCAGATTCACTTGCGATTGAGTCACAGTCGCTGATCCTCAGATGCTGAAACTCTTCCCCTAGGTTTCACTGCAGCCCAACTTTGCTGAATATTCCTGTCAAGACAGCTTGGGGTCATTCTGTACCCACTCATTGCCAGTGCAGTGACGCAGACACGGGGATGCCACACTTCCATTCGGCGCCATCTTCCTTCCCTGCTACTTTTTGTTTTTTAATGAAATTAGAGATCTGATTTGAGTGGCTAGTAGTTTTGCTAGTTTAACTCGAAGACTTATGAAATTCTGAATTTTTAGACAATAAATTACCAAGTGTGCTTTAATGCCATCATCTTACATGGAAGAGGAAGATTTATTAAACTTACTGGGTTAGATTTAAATACCATGATCTTTGGGGTGGAGCCTATGTCTAGATTGTGGGTGGAGTCTGTGTTCAGGGCACTATAAAAGGCCAGACTGTTAGAGCTTGGACTCATTTCAGAGAGGTCATTAGGCTGGGGGAAGTGGAGCTGTGGAAAGATAGATGTTTAAGACTGCTGCTGAAAATCTCCAAGTCTAAGTAAGTTGTCTCTCCTTTCTGGGTTATTTTCATTGTTGATTTTCTCTCCCTTTGGCTACAACTTGATTTTTTTTCAGTGTTTTAACCTTTAAAATTTAGAAGAGCCAGTCTTGTCCCATACTAGAAAATTTTTTTCTTTTTTCACTGTAATATTATCACTTAAAATTTTACCTATTTATTAACTTCAGGCCACTTTTCATATACATATATATCAAATAGTTTTCCCAAATAATATATATATATATATATAAAGTATACACACACACACACACACACACATATATATATACATACATACATATAATTTCTCCTAAAGAAGGAGACAAAAATTATATATATATTTTATATACAACATACATAATATAATGTTATAGTATATTATTATATATAAATATATTATATAAAATGTATAATTATTGTATATCATATATTAATTATAATGTATAGTGTAAAATATAATCATTTTTTTCTCCTTCATCTTGAGAGGGGGGTCTCTCTATGTTGCCCAGGCTGGCCTCAAATACTTGGGCTCAAGTAGTTCTCCCATCTCAACCTGTGGTATAGGTAGAATTGTAGGTATTTGCCAGAGTCACATATGTTTTAAGTTTTTCAAATAACATATATGCAGTTTTTAAATAATTTCTTTTTATTTTTTAACATTATTGCTTAAAGATTTTCTCCTTTCAATTAAATGTACCTACCACTTAATAGTTGTGTGATAATTTACTGAATCATTTCATTATATTTACATAATTAAATGGTTCTAATCATTTAGGACCATGGTTAAGAACTTTTAACATGAACAACTTTTTACAAATGTAACATTTTTTTTTTCTTTTGCAAAATTGCTGGATACATTCCAAGGTAGGCTAGGCAAGCTCTTATAGATTTCTGGCACCATGTTAATTTTTTCTTTCAAAGAAGGATTTTGTGAAAAGAACAACAGGAAAGCAGATTCACTCTGTTTTCCCCCAGCCAGGTCTGGTCAGATTGGAGTGACCAAAGACTCCAAGTTCCATGTGGGCAGATGTCCTGTCTATTGTTATATATGTTTGTATTTCCAGAATTGAGTTGAAGCCTGGAACATGGAAGGCTCTTAGGTAGTTCTTGGATGGAGATGAGAAGGTACAGTCTGGGATGCATGACAGCACTGGTGACCCAGTGTATCAGGCTGGCCTCAATGTTAATGGTTTTCTCCTCTACCTAGGGCAGTGTTGATGCTCCAACCACAAATGTGCATGTGATTTGTGAACTCTTGGTAAGAAGCTCTGCTAGTTATTAGTGATGCTCTTTTTGGTGGAGTCCTTGGTTCACATCATCTCACAGGCACTGTTCAGTCTTGAGTAACTGTCTTTGGTCCAAAGACATGCTAGAGTTAATTCATGCAAAGACCAGCAACTATGGTGGTAGGGCCCAGCAAAAAGCTATAGTATAGCATCAGGGATGCTGGGCTTTGGGAGAAGCCCAGAATCTTCTTTGTCACATCTTTTTGTTTTGTGTTTAGGCGTTGTTACTTTTAGAAGAGTTGATGACAATTGAAAGAAAATTGACCACAACACTCAGAGTAACCAAGAGATCTTTATTGCAGCAGTGCAAAAGAGGAGAAAGGAGAAGGAAAGAGAGCCGGGCAGGGCAAGGTTTTTATAGCCCTTCTTTCGTGCTGTGTAAGTCTAATAGTGTCTCTGGGTTTGCAAGCTGCCTTGTTGGCACAAGGGGGGTTAAGTGTTCAGCCTTGAGGGGGGGGCAGTTAAGTGTTCAGCCTTGAGCGGGAGCTTGAGCATTTAGATTTGATGCAAACAGGTGATAAAGAACCAGATAGAGGGGGTTTGAGTGGCTGGTCCTGCAGCTAATGTTTGTTTAGCTTGCCCTGCAGACAACTTAGTTCAGCCTGTCCAGGACCTAACAACAATGATTATATTTTAATATTCACATCCACTCAGGTCTTCATTAGTTTTCTAAGAATGCTTTAAAGCATTTCCCCTAATGAAACTTTGTCTTTAAAATTGATTCTATCTTGGGCATCTTATTCATTTTTCAGTGTATTTTGCTAGTTTTACTCATGTGGTGATTTTCTTTAAAATTCTGAGACTCCCTTAGCCATGTTTTTGCAACTGCATTGGGATCATCTTTACTTTTATGATTGGGTTTAGGCATGGAAATCTTTTTATTTGAATGTAAGGTAGCCCACAAAGGATTACTGATTAGGGTGAAGGCTGCATTCCTACCTAGATTCTATTAAGGACCCAGTTCGGCTCAGCTCCCACAAGATGAAACCTGAATCAGAGCAGAGAACACCTCACCTGGAATTCTCCAGACAAGATTAACTGTTGGTCTGAAAAGACCATTTTCACCATCTGATTTCTCTCTTGTGATTACCTGGATTTTGGACAGTGTGATAGTTTTTATTACAGATGATTGCATTAATGTGATTATCTGACTTCGTATAACTTCTATACATAAATTACAGAAAATATTTGTATTATTTAATGTTTTTGGAAGTGCTGGGAATTGATACCCAGTGCTTTGTGCATGAGAGGCAGGCACTCTACCAACTGAT